AATAAATAAATAAATAAATAAATAGTGTAGGCCCGTCAAACCGGTGGGTATTTGGAGAGACAACTACTTTGTAAGTTCCACTGATTCAAATGGGTCTACTCTAGTTGAAAATTATTACATTAAGCACTATGGGGAGGTATATAAGTAGAAACTACTACTACTGATACTACTACAGGATTTCAACAACTATCAACCTAAAATGACTTCTTAGCCATCCTTTCAATCATTCTTTCTGTCTTACTAACAGAGCAGTAAACATTTGGGATGTTTGAGTCATGTCAGCTGAGAGGGAAAACCTAAGGAAATTTCTGTTCAGCTCTTCAGCTTCCCACCTCACTTTGTGGCAGGTATTCACAGCTGTACAAACAAGAAAACCATTTTTATGTGTTCTGACAGAGATGATCACAAGCCAAAGGTTTGGTGGTTTATGCCTGTTCATTTATTGGCTGAACAGGTACTTGGCGCTTCAAAGCCCTGCCTCCTCTGGCAGCCGCCCACTCAGAGGCAGCACTGAGAGGAAGTGGAACAGAGGAGTCGGACCACTGCCTCTGAGTGGGTGCCCACCAGAGGAGGCAGGGGTTTGAAATATCAAACACCTGTTTGACTGACAAACGAACTGGCACAAACCACGAGACTGGTAGTTCGTGCCCAGTTCTAGTTCTCAGGGTGCTTCTGACTTAAAGGGTTCTTGAAGTATGCAAGATATTTAAAAATTCTGCAAGTCAGAAACAACTTGACAAATATAACTATTTGGCAAACAATATGCAACCATTTCCATTTGGGGCAGGGGTTGAACAAGGATCCAGGAGACCTGGGTTCAAATCCACATTTAGCTTACCACTGAGCCATGTAATGATGGGAGCTGCCAGGGGACTGGTGGAGTAGAGACAAAACAGAGGGCAGGATCTGTCTGGGACAGCAGAAGAATAATTGGGTCTTACCTATAGAACCTTAGCTATCCTGATCCAGAGTATCCCAAAGGCAACTAAGAAGAGGTGTCTATGTAGTGTGTGAGTGAGAGAGGTTTTTACTGCAATACAGCTGCATGGGTTTTGTTTTACTAGAAAAGAGTCTATTAAAAAGGGGAAAGAATGGAAAGAAACTGAAGAAAAACACTTGCTGCACAAGTCAGATAATATCATCTGTGTTCTCAGGGCTTTCAGCACTGAAATCATACACGGTTCAGTTAAATACATGTCAGTGCTGCTGCATCTCAAGTTTAGCATGGTAATGACTTGCTTCATAAAATATTGCTTTCAGAGAGGGACAGAAGTGTGAAGCTGGAGTCAATCATGCAGCTTAGGGAGTTCCTTTAGGAGCTAACATTGTAGTGGACATATTCCAAGAAGTGGGAACAGATGTGCCATTCTGAGCTCATTTACATAACCTGGATTGTTTTTCTGCTGCCTGAAGTGAGCCTGAATCTGAATTTGCCTTTAGTCAGGAATTGATTCTCTCCTGTTCATAGCTGATACCTTAATGCTTTGCTGACCATAAGGGCCCTTTCAGCTCTGCAGCTCTATGTTTATTATTATATGATATGATCATCCATGTCCAGTCGTACTGAAATGTAACACAGTGATCAGAAAATGTGGACAGCTGTCTCATCATGGACAGATTATCTGCCCGTTTCTCAATGAGATGCAATGCATGTGCGCAGCAGTTAGCTGTTTTACACATTGCACCAATTCTATCAATGCCCTATTGGAAAGAGAAGAACTGTGGTTCAGTGGGAGAGGTTAGTCTCCACCCACTTGTTTTCCTCCATACATCTGCTGTCCTCCCCATTCCTGTTATCTATTATGCATTTAGGATTAAACAGCCACAGAGATACAAAATATCATATTTTTCCATGTACAAGATGCCCCCATGTATAAGATGTTCCCCCTCACTTTTCTAACC